GAAATCTTTCAGATTCTTAAGAGTATTTAAATATAAGAACAAATAATTTATAAAACAATATGTTCTTAGATCTTAGACCTTTTCAGTTTCTTTTGGGAGTTACTTTTCACAAAACATACCACTTAATGTGAGTTAGTACATGTAATTGCACCCCAGGCACACAGTGGGGGCTGATGACTACTTACCCACAACAATTTCCAGCCCATGAAATTCACATCTTTGCCTCAGCAGAATGGTTATTTACTAGAGGCCATGGGCCTTCAAGGTCATTCTTAAATGTTAATTACCTGTAAAGTCCAGGTGCTAAAAGGGGTTAATCTGTGGGCCTATATCTTGTCAGTCAACAGTCCGCTCTCACAGGGTTTCTACACACTAGTGTTTCAGAGCTGCATGTCTCCCAAGCCAGCCTCTCCTAAGCCAGACCCTCCTCGCGCTTACCTGTATTATTGGGGTAGCTACCCCCACCTCTTACCCAGGTTATTATACTTCTACCAGGTTAATTTTCCTAAAGCTGGTGGTCTCTTCCCTGCTAATTTTAGGGCAGAGTACCACACCTGGCCTTTTCCTTTCATTGCTCAATCCTCACCATGTTCTAAACAAACTGAACAATTTTGTTCCCTTAAGACACCTCAGTTTCCCTTGTGCTCTCTCCTCCTTAGAATGTTATGTTAATGAAGTCCTCCCCAAACAGATGTAATTTTTCCTTCCTTTGTGCTCCTTAATATTTTGTATGATTTCTACCGCTTAACCCATTCAGCCTTGTATCACAGATATTTATGCTTCCCTGTATTCCATTATTATCCAAATGACAGCATGGTTCATTTCCATGACACTGTCTAACATTTATTCAGCACTTAAATAGTGTTACATTGGTGACATTTTTATTCCCCTAAGAGTGCTTTTTGCATGTATGTACACACAAATATATCTTTTTTGTTTTTATATGAATAGTATCACACTATAGTTTTTTTTCTGTTGTCTTTTTCATTCACTTCACATGTGATGAAAATCTTTTATGTTCATATATATAAGCACCCCTTAATGTCTGCATTTCATATTATCACTGTTTTTAATTTTTGCCAATCTGTTGCATAAAAAAATGCTGTCACTTTAATTTTCATTTTCCTGTTTACTAGTGGGGTTAAAAATCTTTTCATACATTGGCTATTTGTATTTCTTCTCTAAGAATTGCCTATTCATGTATCTTTGCCAGTTTTTCTATTAGGTTGTCTTTCTTAGTGATTTGTACCATTTTTTTTTTATATTCTGGATATTAATCCTTTTCACATACATTGCAAGTAGTTATTCCTAGTTAGTCATTTGTCCTTTAACCTTCTCTGTTGTATTATTTGTGACTTAATTTTTAGGTAGGCAAATCTTTAGCCTTTCTATTTATGACTTCTCGATTAGAAGGGCCTTCCCAATCCTAAGATTACAAAATGTTTTTTTCTGATAGTTTAATTTTTAATCCTTTAATTTATTTGGATTTTATTTGAGGTTTGATAAAGAATAGTGACAGAAATGTATTCTTTTCCTCTCTCCAACACTATTAAAACCTTTTCTATTGATTTAAATGTCATTTATAAACTAAAGTGCTGTATGTATTTGGTCTTATTTCATTTTTATTCCTGTCCCAGTACTGTGACTTTATTCTTTTGTATTTTGATTTTATTCTTTTGAAATATAAACTTTAGAGTCACCTTATGGACTTCATTTAAAAAATGTTTTAAATCTTGTTGGGAGTTTTGTTTGAATTGCATATACTTTATGGACTACTGAGGAAAATGGACATCTTCGCAATATTGTGTCTCCTATTTTAGATACTGAGGAAAATGGACATCTTCGCAATATTGTGTCTCCTATTTTAGACCCTATAGTATGTCTCTCCTAGTTAAGCTCTTTTTGTGCTATTGTAAAGCTTTATAGCTTTTTCCTCTAGATCCTGTACCTTTTTGTTAGATCCCTAGGTGTTTCATAGTTTTTATTGCCACTGTAATAGGGTCCTTTTTTTCTATCATGTTTCCTATTGGATTTTGCTACTCCATAGTCAGACTATTAATTTTGTATGTTTATTTTATTTCTGACCACTTTATTAATCTTTTGTTTTTTAAGTTTATTGGGGAACAGTGTGTTTTTCTAGGACCCATCAGCTCCAAGTCAAGTAGTTGTTTCACTCTAGTTGTGGAGGGTATTTTTCCAGGACTCATCAGCTCCAAGTCAAGTAGTTGTCTTCAATCTATAGTTGTGGACGGTACAGCTTCTTGGCCCAGGTGGGACTTGAACGGGCAACCTTGGTCTTATGAGCCTGCGCTCTAATCACCTGAGCTAACTGGCCACCCCCACCTTATTAATCTTAATATATTGTTTTTCAGTTGATTTCTTTCACATTTTCTAAGTGTACAATTATATAACCGCAGAAAGTTTTGGGGTTTTTCCCTCTCACCTGTTCTTCATTTCTTTTTATTATCTTACTGAATTGTTAGGGATCTTCAGGACATTATTTTAGCATAGCCATAATAAGAGGCCTCTCTCTCTTGTTCTTAGCTTTCAGAGGAACACTTCTATGTATGTTAACATTAAATTTGATGCTGCTGTGGATATCTGACAGTCATTTTATCAAATTAAGAAAATTTTTCTCTACTTTCCTTGAGGATTTTAGTCAACTTAGTGTTATAATAAATACTTTTGACAGCTATGAGATAATCAGTTTTTTTTCTTTTAATCCATTAATGCGATGAATCATCTTAAATTTTTTTTCCTGTTGTACTATTACTGCTTTCTTGGGATAAACACTACTTGGTCATGATATATTCTTTTTCATACCCTCACTAAATTTGACTTTATTTAGAATGTTTGTATCTATATTCATAAGCAAACTAGGCTTATACATTTTTCTCTATGTTTTCTCCTTGCTATGTAATACTTTATATACTCGAGAGCTAAATGTAACTTGAAGATTTGATAACATTTATTCATAAAATGATCTGAGCTTGGTGGCTTTAAAGATGGCATTTTGACTGCCTTTTTTATTTTAATTTTCATATTAATGGACTGAATATCCTCACTACTTTTCTCTGATCTGGAGCAAGTTCCCAACTTCATCAGATCTCACTTTTCTTAGTAAAATGAAGATAACCAGACCTAACTCCCAGTATGGTTGTAAGGATTAAATGAGATAATATGATTGTTTAGCATAATTGTGCCTTATTTAAGATAATCTCATCAATAGTAACAACTATTATTGTTATTCCCTCAAGTGGATTAATGGAGTTACCTTAACCATCCCCTGCTGTTGCACTGTGGGGTTGTAAACTCAAACTAGACAGAGAGGATACAAAGATAAGCTAATGGTTCAGCCAACAGCATAGGCATCATCAACACCCCTTGGTGATTCTAGATCTTTCTCAGGACTAGAGCTGTTTTCCTGTGGTGCTGTCCCAGCAGACGTACCCTCGGGCTGGGATGCAATCCCTCTGTTGTACAGGGAGCCATGGCAGACAGCGTCTGCGTGTTTGCATCTCGGATGTCCTCGCCCCGCCTGGAGCTTGTTCTCCACGTTGGACGTGCTTATTTATGTTATTTATGGAAGATTTTTAACTGGAATGGAAAGATGACTATTTTAAAAAGCCATTTCAAAAATCAGGATTATAATGTATAAAACTATGGATGACATGATTGGTCCGAAGAACATGCTGAGGTTATTTTCTTTCTTTCTTTCTTTTTTTTTTTTTTTTTTAAGTAAATACTTAGAGGTTTGTCTCCGCCCTTTGAAAGGAGTATAAACTGTTGGGCTGAGATAGAGGTATAAAGTAGAAAATGGAGACTTGTTGCATTCTCATCAACAAGCAGAATATGGTTTTTTCCAGTCTTTATTACTTCAGAATCCTTCATCTGATATTTAAAATGTATTTATGTTGAGTCATTTCTTTCTCTTTTGCTGGTGAACCAGAAGATCATGAAATGATTATGCAGAGGCAGTAGCATTACGTTCAGTTTCTTTTTTCGTATATATCAGATAAGAGGCTTGCAAATGGAAGTAAGGCCTCCTCACATCCTTTGTATGGCAGTGGCAGTGATGTTTTCCTCTTTGTCACTGGTACAACATTTATTAGTTTATAAACCCACTTCCAAAGAACCTAAGGGCTTTTTGATGAAAGGTGACTCTAGTAAGAACAGTGTTAGATTTTGACAGGCTACTTTTGTTTTTTACAAATATTTCTTTTTAGTGTTCAGAAACTACTAGTTTTTTAATTGCGTTGCAGGGGAGGCAGGGAGGGGTACATATATTTGGAGTTAGGATTTCTGAATCTTCTAGGAAGGGAAAATAAGTTCTGAGTTTCAGTTCAACGTAAGCCTCTAAATCGCCCTTTCTGAACCAAAGATTGTAGTTGATAAAAATCTCACAGATCTGAGAAATAAAAGCAGCTGGAGAGGCTGACTTTTGGTAAACCTTGATAGTAATAGAAGAGGAAAAGGGCAGTTCCAAAGACCTCCTACTTCCCCATAGACTAAGGGACCCTGAACACCTCCCTCACTTCTTTAACTCACCCCCATGCATCAGCAGCTCTCCCTGTAACCTGTGGGCATCAGTGGAAACAGTCCTTGGATTAAGCCTAAGAAAAAGTCTTCTATAAAACTGCTTCCTGAAAATTTCACTGTGTTTAAGTATGTATTTAAGGGAGTGTTTGTCATATCATAGTAAAAATAGAGAAGGGTAGGGACCCTGGAGCTCTGAAAACATGGCTGGCAGGTTTCAATACTAGCCAAGCAGAAAGGTTTTGGTTTTATATTTTCTAGCTCTTACTATATCCTACTTTTATCACTGAAAATATTGGGAAAGTTATTTCATGATATTGTTAATGATATTGTTATGGTGTTACTTGCATTATTATATATTATTATTATATACATTTTCATATATTTCATATATTTTAAATATATTCCTATTATATATAAAAATATATTATTTCATTAAAGTACCCACGGCTTTTTTTTTCCAGAGCAATAATGAAATTTCACAGTATGAAAATGGAAGAAATCAATAAAATCATTCGTGACCTTTGGCGCAGTACCTATCGCGGACAAGGTGATTAACTAATAAGGTGTATCACAAGTGCTTTTTCCAGAGCCCTGTCTCCAGCTCTTGCCTCATCCTCCCATCATGCCAGGATTGCCTCTGAACATCTTTTTGAGGTTTTCTAAGAATTCTTATCTGGATAATATCTTGTAGTAAGAAAAAAATGCAAAGATTTCTATTCCAGAGCCTTGACGGGACTTACATATTTGGCTACGGTGCACATTATATTTAGCTGATGACATAATCGGTTCTGTTGACGTATAGATAGGGATAAGCCGAAATGCGATAAGAAAACCATCAGAAGGAAACTTTTAATAGAGGAACTAAGTCACAGAGGCAGAGCTAGGACTGAGGGTTGGGTCATCGGGGTTGCTTCTGACCCAGGAATCCTTGCGAATCCTCAGCCAGACAGAAAGGTTCCAGATAGCCAGGGTTTCCCCGGTAATGTCAACCTCACGCGTGGCTCCTAGGCTTACTAATGTTTGCAAATGACAAAAGGCTATAGAATGTAAGTTTGTCTGAAATCTTCTTCTTTCGTGTCAGATATCGAATATATAGAAATTCGGTCTGATGCCGATGAAAACTTATCAGCTTCTGATAAAAGGCGGAATTACAACTACCGAGTGGTGATGCTAAAGGGAGACACAGCCTTGGATATGCGAGGGCGATGCAGTGCTGGACAAAAGGCAGGTATCGCAGGAACCTAGGGAGCCGCTTTTCCCTGGAGAATGGACGGAGACACAAATGTCAGTGTGGTAGAAGCCGCCAAGGCTGTCCTGGAATGGCGTGAAGCTCCTTACCACGCTCCTGGCTACCATGTAAAGTGAGCCAGGCTCGGCCACCCTCATTACACTCTCCCAGTTCTAACCAGCTTTGCCTGCAACATTGTACAAAGTAGGCCCCTAGGAGAAGGGCCTGAAACATTCTCACAGGGTAGGCTCAAGGAAGACCATTGTTTCACTCCTTATGAGAATAAGTTGACTGTGGCATTGTAAGACACACCACTATTTTATGTGCCAGCAAGAAAGAAAAAAGGCAATTGTAATTGTAAGATGTGTCCTGATTTCAGAGAAGTCGGGGGGTGGGGAGGGGTTAGAATCAATGGCATACAGTACAGCAAACCAGATCCTAGGTTGAGCCACATGAGGCATTACAGTATCTGAGAGAGTCTCGCTGAGAAAACAGCTGCATTATAGGACTGAGTGCCCCGCAGCCTAACCTTTGGGCCTGCAGACCATCTAAAAGAAGGGTCTGCTGGAGCCAAAGGCTATGGTAGCCACCGGTGCCCCTGCCCCTCCCATCTCACACCAAGCCTCAGCTGCTGGGCCAGGCTACCTGGCTCTACCTGAGGCTCTGGGAGGACAGCACAGGTTGGCGATGGAGCATAGAGCAAATCAGAAAGGAATGAAGTTTTAGAGTCAGGAAAGTGGGGCCTGCCATCCTTGGGCAACAAGGCTGGGTCCTTTGTGCACAGGTTTGTACTCAAGGTGTCACAGATTCTTGAGCTTCCTCCTTTCAAATTAGAAGCAGATTATATAATACTTGGCATCTCTGGACCTTTGATTTTCTTAAAATCTTTAAATTCTAGAAATGGATGCTCACTTTCTCTGAGTTCTTTTCATAATTTTCAATTTTTACCTAAGATGGTCCATGCATACGTGTATTTTGTTGTCAGCCCAGACAGCGGATACCAATTTTAAGGCATCTGCAGATTATTATCTTAATTAGTCTGCAAAAAATGACAAATTTGTGATCTATAATCAGTATCCCCTACTTGCTTTGGTGATTTTTAGTGGGAATCGTGAATGAGAAAATATAGTTTGAAATTTGTCTCTTTGGATTAAAATTACTTTCAAAAATAACTTCTGAACAAAAGATTTCCTGTAGCTACTCTTAAGTTATAAAAAATAATTAGCAGTGAATGCTTCCTTGATGCTGGGGGAGCAGACAGACTAATGGTTTGGTAGAAGTGGGCTAGGAGCCCCATTAAACCTCACCCTGAGTGGGTGGGGGTGGCAGCAGTGGGATTCACATACAGGAAGGAAGGGCCTGTCTGCAGGGCGAAGGTATGGCCCTGGCATTTGCAACCTGCCAACCTGCCCTGGGCATCAAAAGAAGCTGTAAACTGCTCTAAAAATCACTGACTCACTCACTGATGCTTCTTCAGTCACAAATTCAGGGGGAGGGGGAATTTACAGCTCATACGAAGGTAGTTTAGACTTCCTAGAATAGTCCTCCTCTCTCAATTCTGTGTCTCCCGTACCCTCAAATGGTTTCAGCTGGTTGTGAGGGGTTTAGTATTAGGTTTCTATTAACCATGAAAGTGCCTCAGTTTCAGTTACTTGGATTTCCTGCAGATAAACTTTATAAATAAAGTCATAATTCTGTGCTGTTGATACTTTGACCCAGGAAATCATCCTCTCTCTCAAAATTATAGACGCAAACGTGTGTATTAAAGCATGATGTGAATTAGGTGCCTCTTTTTTTTTTTAAATATGGAACGTTTCACGACTTTGCACGTCATCCTTGCACAGGGGCCATTCTAATCTTCTCTGTATCATTCCAATTTTAGTGTATGTGCTGCAGACGTGAGCACTAGGTGCCTGTTTTGGACCACAGAACATATAGATTTAAGGAAGTCTCTAAAAGAGAAAAGGTCCTGGAGGCTCCGGAAAATGTAATGTGTCCAAGTTTTCTAAAAAATCTCATCATCAAGAAAATAAAATAGCCAGGGCTTGAATTTTTAAGGTTGTTAATCCTATACCATTATTAAAACTATTAGTTACAGATAAATGGTAATGCATTTCTGATACAGATCTGTGTTATAGCTCCTGTGATTTGTGTGTGTGTGTGGCGGTGGCGCAGTCAGCATTGCCTTTAGCATTTTACTTTATTGCAAATGATAGGCTGAGATAATGCTCATGGAAGGGCATCAGAGTCTGGGCACAGTGCCAGCCTCTTCTAAACAAAAGAGCAGTGATTTACCTAAGGTCAGTGACCCTGTGACCTTTCCCATCTAAAGAGATTAAGCCAGATCTAGCACTTTCCTACGGTGAATGAGAAAAAGGTCTTTACAGCACAGCTCAGCTTTGTGCTTTGGTGCTTTTTTCCAGGTATTAGCCTCGCTCATTATTCGCCTGGCTCTGGCCGAGACGTTCTGCCTGAACTGTGGAATCCTTGCTTTGGATGAGCCAACAACAAATCTTGACCGAGAAAACATTGAATCTCTTGCACATGCTCTGGTTGAGTAAGTTTCTCAAATGTGGGGACAGGATATTATAGCTTTTAAAGTAAGATTAAGGGAGTTTTGTGATGAAATCCCTCTCTACATGTGTCTTCTTTGGGAAAGCTGGTTGGTGCCAGACCTTAAGCTTTACATTTTGATAGTATTTTGTCAGATTTTTAAAAAGAACTAGATGGTGAACAGCAGCTCCAGACATATCCTGCATCTCCCCAAGTGTGTTCATAGGGAAACTCATGGTAAGCGTTTCTGGCTGGGTTTGACTTTCCTGTAAACCCGCCAGAGGAACCCACATGTCATATACAGGAGTTACCATGACCTGCTGAGCCATTGCTAGGTGGTGAGTGTGGTTTTGGGCTGTTTCCCCAGCTTTTCACACCCATTAGCATCTCTGAGGAATGACAGACAACTCTTACTCAAAAAGTATATTAGTGGTTAAGTAGTTCCAGAAAGTACAATTGCACACACCTTCTATCACATTCACCTATGGTGGGGCAGGCTCCAGGGATGGGCAGCCCTTGCTTAAGGACTGTGCTGGCAGAGGAGAGGCACTTCCCCAGAAGTAGAGAAGCTATTCCGGGTACTTCTGGCTCCGGATAGACTCTGCCTGGCAGAGACAGTGTTTCCTGTCTGACAGCCTGGACCGGGCCAGTAGGAGAATTGAGCACCCACAGAGGCACCTTGCTCCAGCCATCTCCCATAGTCCTGTAAGACCAGCAAGTAAGCGCTAGTGCTTTTGAAACCCAAGTGCATCCACCTCCAGGTAAGGGGTAAATAAGTGGTTAATTAAAAAGAAAAAGTCTTTCAGGTCTCAGTTTCATAGCTAGTTACCTCAGCATACAGATAATAAGAACAGTTGTTTTCACTACACCCACTCAAGCCCCCTGTGTGTCATACTAATGATGCATCTAGTGACTGGTGGTGGCAGAATTCTAAGTAGGCCCAGCTCCTAGGAAAGCAGCATATGTTATTCCCCTTGCCTGTAGTCTGCCTTTTCACATTTTTATTTTCTTCCAGAGAAAACTAGTCACAGGTCAAGAAAACCCCAGGCAAAGGAATAAGTCAGACTCCTAAAGGTGAACAGCACAGGTGTTAAGAAAAGCTCAGTAAAACATTTCCACTTGCTGTAGTAAGAAAAAGTTTGTGTTCTGGAGCAAACCAGATCACGTACTCTTACAGCCCGTAAACCAGACCTGGGTGAAGAGTCAAGCCATGCATCCCCACTGTCTGGAAAGGAGCGGGGACTCCTAGCTGCCTGGGCTGGGGGTCTGGGTCTACCCCGCCCCTCCCCCACTTCCTGCAGGGCTGCCAGAGGCCCTGACACTCACATGGCACAGGAAAGACCTGGTCATGTGTCCGAAAAGGTTCTTAGTGGCTTTTTCAAATTAAATAAAGGATTCTTTGTGTTCTTTAGTAATAAAATGTTCTAAATATATTGTTGCAGGATAATAAAAAGTCGCTCACAGCAACGTAACTTCCAGCTTCTGGTAATCACTCATGATGAAGATTTTGTGGAGCTCTTAGGGCGATCTGAATACGTGGAGAAATTCTACAGGATTAAGAAGAACATTGACCAGTGCTCAGAGATTGTGAAATGCAGTATTAGCTCCCTGGAATCGTATGTTCATTAAAAATATTCAATGTTTAAATGCCTTAGAAATACAGGTCCTCAGGCAACTGCTTATTTCCGGTGTCAACTAATCAATAAGAAAATATATTCTTTAAAAGGAGCTTTGTATCTAGGTTTTGAATGTCTAAGAGGTTCTACAGTGATTAAAATGGTTTCACATGAAATTTGGGCTGATTCCTGAACTCCGTCCCCCGCAGGAGGCCTCCCACAGGCCTGCAGGGCTCAGCAGCAGCACAGTCAGACTCCCCTTCTCTTCCCTCCCAGATAAATGCTGCGGCTTCTACCTTTCACTCATCAAAGCACGGTGGAGAAGTAGGTTCTTGCTGCCTTGACAATTTATGGTTTGGACATAAAAATAAAAAATCCAGGTTAAGTGTTACCACTTAATTCATTTCTTTGGATGTGGTTTTAAAAAACTGAATTATCAGTGAGTATTAATATCTGGAGATGACTGTAAATGAGTTTTTAATGTATGGCTTTGCTCTTAACTTTATAAATCTAACCAAGCAACCTCCTTCTCTGGGCCTGTTACCCCAACTAAAATTTAAGTAGTTGAATGGGGCTTCAGGATTTGACAGGAACCTTAAGTAATCTAGTTCCGTATCCACCATCTTCCCTCCCCCCATATCCCTTTAGGTAGTCAGCCAGCCTGAGGGCTCTGTCTAGCGAGAGGAAGCTCCCCACTGTGCACATCCACATTTGGAAAACTGACCACAGCAAGGCCTCCCTTCACTTGGGGCCTGATCTGCCATCATGAAGTCTTTGTAACTCTCGTAAGCCTATCCTGTGTGTCATCTCAGGCTCACCATCAACCCTGATTCCTCTCCAAGTGTGCGTTCCCAGGGGGAAGGCAAGGTCATGACCTCTTTCCAGTGGTGTCCAACCAGACGGGGAAGAGCAGTCCTCTCACTTTCACTCCAGACGTCATTTCTAGCAAAAACCTAATCACACTTTTCCTTGGAATTGCCAGCTGACATCTTGAAGCCTTTTATAAGAATTGCACACAGAATGCTACCAAGTAACATACTTTTGAATTAGACTTTGAGGAGTTTTATCTGTCAGTCATGTGGTACAGCTTTGTGCCATCAGCAGACCTAATGAGGATATGGTCTAGACAGCCCTTCTCAACCAGGGTCTAGAAGAGAATAAGCTCTAAGCCCTAATGTATCTGTGGCAGGCTGAATAATGGCTTCCGAAGATACCAAGGTCCTAATCCCTGGAACCTGTGAATGTCACTTTATATGGCAAAAGGGGCTTTGCAGATGTAATTAAAGCTAAGCATCTTGAGATGACATCCCAATGGGCCCTAAATGTAATCACTAGTATCTTTATAAGAAGGACACAGAGAAACAACTGCAGACGAGAAGGCGCTGTGTTGACAGATTCAGAGACTAGAGTGATGCACTTTGAAGGTGGAGGAAGGGCTGGCTATAAGTGACCACTAGAAGCTAAAAAAGGCGAAGAAACCAATTCTCTCCCCAGAGCCTCCAAAGGGAAGCAGCCCTGCTGACACCTTGACTTTTAACCCAGTAAAACTGGCTTTGGACTTCAGGCCTCCAGAACTGTAGGAGAATAAGTTTGTGTTGTTTTAAGCAGCTGCGTTTGTGGTAATCTGTTAACAGCAGCAATAGGAAACTAATATAGTATCCCCATATGTAATCAATTTCTATGCCTCTAAAACACTAGTTGCATATTGTCCTTCAGCGAATTGAAAAGAGGGTTACTCATATCATTTCCTGTGTACTGTGGTTCACATGAAAAAGACTGGTTGAAAAACCCTTACCCAATCCCTGGATGAAAGGGCCAAGCAGCAGAGCCACCACTCCCAACAACTGCTTCCTGTCCCAGGCCCCTTCTCATGACAATGCTCAGTCACCCTAATTCACTTTGAAAAAGTAAAATTACCCATTATTTACCAAACTAGCATGATCCTGACAAAGGCACCACAAGAGAAAACCACAGCAGACCAATTCTCACTCAGAGCTAAGATCCGGGAATTTATAAATTTAAGTAACAGCAAAGCAATTTCAGTCATATATTAAACACACCAAGAGCGCAAGAATATTTCAGAAAATGAGAAATTTGTTCTTAAATCATCAACATCATAAAGCCACAGGGGAAAAATTCTGCTAGACACCTAATACCGGTTATTATTTAATAAATTTCAACATTTCCTAGCTTTAGCAAACTCATGATATTTCAAAGAATGTTTTCTTCATGCTATTTGCCATCAAATTGAAATTCAACTGTCAGTAGCAAAAGATGAAACATTCCCATTAAATAATAAAACCAGGTACCTTCTATCAACATGTTCTGAAAGCCTTTTCAATAAGGAATGACGG